TCTTCATCGACTATATATGTATATAGAGTTACGATGCCTCTTCTGCAGGGTGACTAGCTAATATCCTAAATCTGCACATTGAAAATAAAAAGGCGAGAAAAGACACTAATCCCCCATGTATATCTCAGAGGCCAATTTGTTAGAAAAGATCTAATTTGTCAAACAAGGTTTTGAACGCACATTTAATAATATCCTCTCAATTTCAAAAGATATAAACACGTCTTCATATTCTAGAGCAATGGAAAATGCTTTACAATAAAGTGCTGAAATCAGCTTTAGCCACCTAAGAGAAAGCAGATTGGACGCCCCACCCCCAAATCTTACCCCATGAAGCTTAAGTTTGAGGCCTTCATAAATATGAAATAAAAGATGAAAAGAATCAAGTTTTGAATCCCCATAAATTACAGCAATTTGGATTTCTTTCTTTAAGAGTTAATCTTCAAAAGCAGAGCTGTTCTTAAAGGTGAATGAATTAACATTTCTGAACTAAAAAGATATGGTATAAAACAGTAAATTTTCTCCAATATAGAAAATAAAATGAAAAATAATTTTCGCTGTATACTAAAAATGCATATGTACAGTTAAATGCTTATGATTAACAAAAGGTACAATAAATAGAAGACAGGATAAGTTCTCAAAGTTGTTCCTCCTGGAATAAGTTGTTAGCCTTTGGCTACCTAGGAATAAAAGATTCAATCCCCAGATTTGAGAAACAATAATCATGCCGTATGCCCACTCCCCCATTCTGCCCATGAGAGGATGCAAGTTGACCACCTTTCTTTCTGGAGAGGCTCATGAGTGCTTTCAAGTGTGGTACTGGCATGATGCTGATGACAGTTTCTACTACAAAATTCACAAAGGCATTTCAAAAACATGCCGGGGCACTTGTTCAAACTAAAAACTGCTCAGAAGATTCGGTATTCTGATTATAAACTAGGCTATCCCATTGTTCACGGAACAGCAATGTGAGATTTTAATCTTTTTAAACATGTACAGTTTGTTTTATTTAGAAAAAAAAAAATTGAAGTACACTTGCTGTTAGGAAGATGAAGGCCTGCATTTCTGTTTCAGCCCAGGGATGGCTACTCAATAACTGGCTCTTTATTGCCATCTACAGGCAAAGTGCCCCATAACTCCACATTTGGGAATGCCCCAGTGCAGAGGTCTCTCACTTTAGAAGGAAGCTTCCCACTATTCACAATTATTTGCACATTGATTAGTATGGATTTGTTCAATTAGACTGAAATGCTCTATTTGCACGACCAAAATGCAAAAGAAGAACTCAAAAGCATTAGGAAAATTGTTGGTTAAAATAATAAACAGCATTAAATGAGGAAAAATAAATTGGAACTGACATCTGAGTCATCGGTTCTTCATCAAGCTGAGCAAATCTAATAATGCCTCCCTCCCATCCCTCGGCTCTCAAGAAGTCCGCCGTTAAAATGTCATCTCTAATTCCATCTTATGTCTATAAATTGCATTTTAATAACCTTTTGTTTCCCTTTCTCTGCTCTGTTCTGGGTTTCTTTGGTTTGGTTTGGTTTGGTTTTAATCCCCCGACCACTGGGAAAGGCAGTGGAGGAACAATGGACGCAGACTGTTGTAGTTAAAAGGACAGCAACGGGTTTCCACCTAATCATGTCACCTGACCTAAATGTCAGATACCTTTTCTCCTTCGAGAAGGGCTCTATGATGCCCGTGAGCCTCCATCTGGTAATTACTCTCCCAGCCAACCCGAGGACCTTAATATAAAGTTATCATTTGTCCTCTCTTTGGTCTTAATAATGTAGCGGGTGGGAGGAAGAGAAGGAAAAAATGACAACACGAACAGAAAACATTAAGGTTCAGAACCATGAATGCATGTTAAACTACACTCATGTCATAAATTACACCTGTGATTAGAGTCTGTTTGTTATGACAGTATGCTCTTTTCTCCTTTGTCATTCCGAGAAAGAAAAAGTGTCATGAATTCCTTTATGAGCAGATAGTGAGGTTTCTAACTAAGGAAAGAGAACTACCGGTTAAAGACCAATGATTTAATTGCTGATTTTCTGAAAAAACAAGCTGATACTCTGTTCTAAACAGTATATATATATTTTAATTTTAAAGGGTGTATATAATTTACAAAAAAAGCACTCCTATAATCGAGGCAGTTTAAAATAAAATACATCATTTGATAGCCTCTGGGGAAAGCATTCATGCCCATGGGAAAAAATTCTGTCTGCATGAAATCTATGCTGAAATCAGGTTTTTTTCCTATGTCTATCAAATAGAAGTCATAATAGTATTATATTAATTACAGAAATTTCTTATCATGTGGGTGAATCAATTATATTCCATTATTAAATTGTCAAATGATCTTTATAGAATGCACCATTTATGAAAGCTATTCCTTCAACCTCTCACTTACATTCTGTCTCACAGCAGAAGATTGTTCCTTTGCAATTATACTTTAGCTTGAGTTGGGGATATTATTTAATGCCAGGGCTCCTTTATCTTGTGATGGTCCCCTGAGTCTAATTCTGTGCACTTTAAGAATGGGAACATGGTTATGAGGTATACATTGACTTATCCGGTGCTATTTTGAATGTTAATAACAAAGGCAGCCAACCTGGCTCGTTTCTAACTCCCAGCCCTGCCCTGCACCTAGTGACCTACGCCAGGTTCTTATGGAGGGTGTGGACATTTATGAGGGAAAAGCATTCTGGAGAAGATGCATAAATGCATATATTATGGCCGGCCAGCTTCTCCTGAAATACCCCCTGAAATTTACAGCCATATTCTCTTTCATGTTTGAATTATTGATAGTGGTCAACATGTGAATTGTGCAACATTAGAATTGACAAGGCACTTTTTCAGATATTTCTCCAAAATGTCAATTGTTTTGAGCCTGAGTTAAGTTGATTTTTTTCACAACTTTGTAGTGGATAAAGAGATTAAATAAGCTTGCAACTAATGCACAACTCAGCATCACACAGCCCATTTTACAATATATATTAACCAGTTGGTACAGTCTCCATGGAAACATATTAGTGATGAACTGAGAAACTGATATTAAATTGCATTCAAAATGGTCCAGTCATAGAAAAAAAAAAAAAATCAGTTGGACCTTTAATCTTCAAATACTAACTGAAGTTTTTTTTGGAGATCTACTTAGCTGATGTTTTAATAGACTCACATGGATTAGGTTTCAAAATGTATCCAGGTTTGATTAAAGTAGCATTTCCCCTCCCATCTGTGTTGTCTGTTCAGTGGAGAATTACCCTGAAGTTCCTGCTCTCAGTCATTACAAGTCTCCCAGAATACTGTGAACAAAGCATTCTTGAGCAACCAAGGCAAACTAACCAAAGACTAGTTAAACTAAAAGACCACGAAAAACGAAACAAAACCCAAAATGACAGAGGTGGAAAAAGCACCCTCTCTAGCAGTTGTAAGCCCTCAGCAGGAGCAGAAAAGCAGTTCTTTTCATGGACAAGTGTGCTGGCAGTCCATTCCAAAAGAATATTGTGGAAACAAACATTTTGGAATATACTTGTGTCTTACATGAATGATGAAAACAGAGGATAGAATGTCTGGTTTCCCTGAGAAGCACCATGAGATTGTTACTTTCAAAAATTACTGATTGACTATTAGCTGATAACAAAGAATGCTGACGATCGATGAAGACAGGAAGGACACTGCGCTTCTACACTGAATTTCCTTAGAAAGAACTACAGAGAGAGAGGACCAGAAGAACAACTTGCAATGTTAAATCCCCAGG